ACGTACCCTAACTGTGTACCAAATTTCAACTTTCAACTCCTAACCGTTTGGGCTCGTATCCATAATGTATATAGAAGTTTTAATCCTGTCTCTCTCCCCCCTGGGGAGAATTTCGAAAAATCCCTTCTTAGTGTGCGTTTTCGTGACATACCCTATCTGTGTACCAAATTTCAACTTTCAACTCCTAACCGTTTGGGCTCTGCGCTTATTATTATTATTATTATCAACAAATAAAGGAACTTGATGGAAAATTTGCCATGTGTCTTTAGAATAAAACACAAAACTAGTGTTTATTACGCCACAAAAATTATTATTATTATCATCAACCAGTCTCGATTATATATTAGATGTAGTATCTATCATTACAGCAACAAATATGTAAACTTTATTTAATAAAGTAGCACTGTACATATCTTTGTTTCTACAGAGCTTAATGCTTGGAAGAGGAATCCCCTTCCATAAAAATATCAGGTAGCACTGCATTGGGAGTTTCTTCGAGTCAAGGTCTCTTTTGATAAGGAACAAGAAAGTGGTCTAAAGTTGATTGTCTTACTCTCTTAATCAAAATTTTTTAAAAATGTGCTAGCACACTGTTGGTCATTAAATTAACGACCCTATTAGCCACAACTTTGTTAGGATGGTGCTTCTCAATAAATTCCTGCACATCATTCATTTTCTGCAAATTTCCTTGATCTCAGCACTGGTGATTTCTTCCCTAGCCTCTTCCTCTGACAAATGCTGTTCTTGTAAGACTTTCATCTATTCTTCCTGCATCACAACCAGCTCTTCTGTCTTTAGTTCATTTTTGATGGTCTTTCAGCAACTCCTCCATGTCTGCATCATCTACCTCTACTCTTAAACTCTTGCCAATGGACACGATTTCATGCACTACATCAGGAGAGCTCTCTTCTTCAAATTCCTGAAAGTTTCGCTCTGGGACACAAGTTGGCCAAAGTTTCCTCCGATTGCAAAGTGCGGTGAGAGACCTCACTCCAGGTTTTGTCAATAAGGTTGATACAATGCAGGATGTTAAAATGCTTCTTCCAAAAAGCTCTAAGAGTTAAGTCAGTATCATTGGTAACCTGAAAACACATGGTAAACAGCACCTTGGTATACAGCTTTTTAAAATTGGAAATCACTTGCTGATCCATTGGTTGCAGTAATGGAGTTGTGTTGGGTGGAAGGAATTTGACCTTGATGAAGTCATGTTCACTATCCAAGTTGTCCTCCAAATTTGGTGGATGTGCTGGAGCATTATCCATTAAGTGAAGACATCTAAGAGGAAGATCCATTTCCTGAAGATAATTTTTAACAGTAGGAGCAAACACTTCTGTGAGCCAATCTATGAATAAAGTCTGAGTTACCCATGCCTTACTATTTGCTTTCCATTGTACAGGCAGTTTGGACTTTATCACATTTTTGCTCTTAAAAGCATGGGGATTTTCAGCATTGTAGACTAAAAGTGGCTTGATTTTGAGGTCACCACTTGCATTAGCGCAAAATAAAAGAGTGAGTCTGTCCTTTATGCGCAAGAAGAGAAAGTCCGGGAAGTGCTTTCTCTTCTTGGGTTATGTACGTTTGTCTAAGCATTCTTTTCCAAAAAAGACTGGTCTCATTGCAATTAAACACTTGATTCCAGACGTATCCTTCACTTTTTACAAACTCTGCGAATTCATCTACAAATGCTTTTGCTGCTTTTTCATCTGAACTTGAAGCCTCCCCATGTCTTATGACATTGTGAATGCCAGTTCATCGACGAAACCTATCAAACCACCCTCGGCTTGCTTTAAAGTTCTGCCTGTCTGCACTTGTACTGGGTGTCTGGGTCAACAAGTCGTTGTATAAATTTTTAGCCTTTTCACAAATTATAGCTTCACTAACACTGTCTCCAGCAAGTTGCTTTTCATTGATCCATATTAGCAACAGTTTTTCAACTTTATCTAAAACTTTAGATCTTTGTTTTGATATCACATTCACTCCTTTAGCCACTTCGGCAGCTTTAAATGCTTTTTTGTTTTTAATAATTGTAGAGATAGTCGATTTTGCCACCTTATATTCTTTAGCGATATCAGAAATATGAATGCCATTCTCATATTTTGCAATAATTTCTTTCTTTAGTGCTACACTAAAACATTTTCTATTTCCATTGTCACTTTTCTCTTTCTTCGATGCCATATTGATTAAATATACAGCATAAGTAACAAAACTAAAAAACGAAGTTTAGCACACTCGAAAAAGCAATGCTTACCTCATGCATGCCTAAGAGCAACTGAAATTTGTGAAGTTCCAGAACAGCTGGAAACTATTGGGTTGATGCAAAAGTTTGTCCCATTTTTAGCACCAGCTAGCTAAAAACGCAATACTGAAGTGTTATTTCCTTCACATGTGTAAAATTTCGATGTTGTTTGACAAAAGGATCTCAGCTAGTATTTGGGAATAAAGTTGTGTTACTTAGTTGTGTTTTTAAAATTTTGTTAAGCATTACAAATGGCAGAAAATAAGGAGCATTTTCGACATATTATGCTTTTTTATTTCCGAAAAGGCAAGAATGTTTTGCAGACACAAAAAATGATATATTCTGTGTATGGTGAGGGAGCTATTGATGATTCCATGTGCCGTAAGTGGTTCAGAAAGTTTCATGAAAGCAAGCTTACAAATTTGACATAAAAAGCCGTTAAATTCCAAATTTTGTTCGTTATCCGAGACAAAATTTTTGTAAAATAAAAGTTTGTTAACCAATTTGGTTTGTTAACCGGGGTTCCACTGTATATGGAATTTATAACCCATCCTTTATATCTTTGGGTGTGCACGTGTCTACTATTTATAGACATGTTTATAGACTATTTATAGAAGTAAAAAATTATCACTTAGTTTCATTCATTAAAAGACGTCGATTATTTTAGAAAAAGTTAATAAGAAATTTCATTTGAAATTAGATAAATACAATTAAAAGCAGGAAATTAGATTTATGTTATGAAAAATTTGAAGATTTATTTATGATAGCTACTTGTTCCAACTTTTAAATAAATTTTTTTAAGATAAATAAAGATGAAATCCATACCAGGATTTAATATCTAAATAAGTTTGTATATCTAATAATTTTTGAATTGTTTTACTTTAAAAAAATTGTTTTATAAACAGATAAAATTGCTGATATTAATTAATTTTGCATATGCAATGCATGGACTAGTCAATTTCTATATTCATAATAATAATGTTTAATTTCTTATCCCAGCAAAAAATTACTTTCATTAACTTAATTAGTTATAAATAAAAATTAAGATGTTAAGCAAATTAAAAGAAAGTTAAATTGAAATGGAAACATTGTTGTACATATACAGTGGTACCTCAGGATATGAAATTAATCCGTTCCGAAACTGAGATCGTATCATGAAAATGTCGTAAGGTGAATCATCTTTTCCCATATGATTACATGTAAAACCAAATAATTCGTTCCAACGCAAAAATCATACTCAAATTAAAGCCAAGTAATACATTAAATAAAAATAACTGTAGTATGGAAAACACTGAAAAATGCATTTTGTAGTTGTAAATGTATAAATAACCCTAATAGAATAATAATTGATTAAAAAAAAATGTAGTTTTATTTGCACTTTACCTTTGAGAATAGACGACGATGGAGGTATAAACTGGTGGCGGAAGAGAGGGAGAAGGGAAATGATACTAAAACTTAACTTACATGACATAATGTAACAATAACTTTAAAATAACTTAGAAAAGATAAAAAAAATTAGTGTTGTTTTATATATATACTAGCAGGTGGGCCCGGCGTTGCTTGCACAAAAGTAACGATAACTAAGATAAAGATTATTACGTTACAGTCAACCTTACCCGTTTTCATAGAATGCAAGAATTGGGTCCCCTTAGAGAATTTTTAGATGGGTCTAAAAATAT